TGAGTTAAGTATTCTGTAGGGTTGTTGAAATTCATTTTTTTGTGTTATCGTCAAGTATATCAGTATTTTTTTCTTCTGGTGAAACTCTGTTAGTGCTAGATATGGACAGACATGGTGATCATCAAGGCTCTTGCAAGGCTGGGACCTAAAAATGGGTGACATGAACATGAAAAAGTAGAATATTAAGAAATGGTTGTCAGATTTTATAATTTGTGATATAGCAGACAATTACTGCCTAAAATTGGCAACTAATATGAGCTATATATCAATTTTGCTAGTCTTCACTTCAAAACAATTTTTTTAATTTTTGAGACTAATTTACTTGAAGCCCCTTGCACATTTTCATAATTTTCTCTAAAAAGACTCCAAACTTCTTTAAATATTAACTCAAATAGGAAAGTGCACCTATATAAATAGCAGAGAATGGCAATAAAACCTCTGAAATTTTGAAAATTAAACTAGTTTAACCTCATCCTACAATTATATTATTGACAATAGAGATATTTTGTTAATGAAATCTATTCTTCTTCTTCTCTCTCTCTCTCTCTCTCTCTTTTTTTTAATGTCATGAACACACATAATATGCTCTATATCATGATATTCATTGTACAACTGAGCAAAACTATCCGTTTTTTTGCATGATACTTCAGTAAATAATTTTCCAGTGACATGTTAGTCTTTCCAGCATTTTCTCCAGTTTCAGTTGTGGAGAACCCTTTCATCGACAATCTTCAATTATGGTTGCGTGATATATTTGAAAAGCTTGGTTCTTTAAATCCAAAGAAGGTTCCAGACCCCAATCTCGTAACTAATCTTGTGACATTGCAGATATGCCACAGGTTGCCAATTTTTCTTACTATTTAATCAGTCCCTCAGATGTGGGTATTTTCCTGATTGTTGGAAAAAAAGCAAGATTGTCCCTGTTCATATAAACGGTGATAAATCTGATGTGACAGACTACTACCCTACTTCCATCTGAAGCGCCATCCCTAATCTGTTCAAAAAACTAGTTTACATTAATCTTACATCTTCTTTTGAGTCTGTACTCTGCATGGATTCAGGGTTGGTAAGTCAACCTGTACAAACTTGATCATATTCAAAAAGTTTATTGTTCATTTGCTCACTGATGGCTCTCAAGTTGATATAATATATACAGATTTTTCTAAGGGGTTTGACTGAATTGATTATAAGGTTTTAATCCATAAACTAAGATGGGTTTGGGTGACCCTCTTTTTTCATGGATCAATTCTTATTTCGATAACAGATTACAATGTTTCTCTGAATGGTATCCATTACAACTCTTACCCTGTACCATCTCGAGTCTCTCAAGGTTCTTGCCTTGTCTTTACTTTTCAGTTTGTTTATCAATGACCTCCCTTCAGTCTTAAAACACAGTAATATCTTTTTGCTGATGATTCTAAGATTTATCGTTTGGTAGTTGATACTGATGACGCCATTAAGTTGCAACTTGATTTACTTGCTGTCGGAAATTAGAGTCTGCTGAATAATATATAATTGCACCATGACAAATGCTATACATGACTTCTCCAGAAGTCATCACCAATTTTATAGTTAAAAGTTTTTTATTTCTAGACTTAGAGAAAGATGAACTTTACATTTACTGATATTTAATTTTAATTGTTTAGATAAGCACCTAATTAGTAGAAGAGCACGATCAGATTGTAGATGGAGAGGAATAGCTGTAAAACAAGTGTGCCATTACCCTTAAGTTCTTACTTCATCCTCAGCAACATATCATTTGAAGACTGCAAAGAATTAATCCTCGAAATTAAGTTTACCTAGCAATAAGTTAATATCACCGTGATCAGTGGCATCTTCATTGTTTTCACCAGAGAAACAAAGTTTAATGGTGGTTTTCTTTAATGCAAAATCTTTTAAACAACCCTGGGTGAGTGCAGTTGCATTTTAGGGTGACTTTTAAGTGAAAGGTGCGGTCAGCAGCACTGCAGAAGGAAGAAGCCATTTGAGCACACATGGCAAGGCCTGCTGTAGGAGCATTGCATTTCATCTTCAGAATAATAATATGGAAATTGGAATGTTTGAACAAGCCAAAATTATGATCATTATAAATATTAAATACACATTTTAATTGATAAATATTTTGAATTAAGGAAAATTGTGTATTTTAGGCAGTTGCAATAATGTTACATAATATTTGTTAAACAAAGTACTCTAAGTAAATTGTTGCTGTAAACTATGACCACAAACATTTACCAACATAAAAATGTTTGTATTAAAATCTGCACAAAAAGAAAGAAAGAAAATTTGCTTTAACACTCCCTTCCATCTAGATGGCTTACTGTGAATGACAAGGAAAATCTATCCCATCCATCGCATACCATGACTAGAAGTTGAAGTTAATTGCCCTCTGGATATGGCATATCACACTAGAGGGTTAAGTTGCACTGCATAAAACCTGACTGCAGTGTAATTCATGGGCTTTTTCAGTATTTTGTAAAGAATTCAGATACCTTTTGTTTTGCAAATTGGTAAGAATATTATTATTTTTGTTTTGTTTTGTTTCACAAATTGGCCATTGTGGAGCGTGCGATTCAGGCATATGACTGAAGCTCAGAGTTGATTATCAGGATAGATGCACATTACTTTTCTATAGGGGGAATCAGCATTTTAATGTTGATTACATTTTTTTATATTCCAGGGTTGTTTGCCCTAGGGGATGGGATGAGATTATGATGATTTTATTTATTTACTTATTTAAAACAGGCAATCGCCCAATTTTACAGATCATTTTGCAATTATTATTATTATTATTCTACATAAATCACATACATAACATGACTAATAATGTAATTACTTTAGTGCATGTTATAATAAATGCTTGTGACTAGCTTTTGGTCTGTGTGCTCAATTTCCACTATGCGATTTAGAGTTCGACCAAGAACATAGTGTGCGTTTTCCTTGCAATGTCCCAGTATATGTTGCTGTGTGACGATGAGAAAATTCACTTCTCAGGTTGAGAAGACTGGAATATGGCATGGGGATGTCTACTTGCTAACCACACATACTCCCTTAACCCATGGCTGTGAGGCAGGGATGTCACCGGTAGGCCTGAGCCTGACAGGTTGTCGTGCCAAGTACATACATCATGTAATAATAAATATCTAGCAAAAATCATTTAATATTCTGTTTTTAACTTGGAATGTGAAGTATTTTTTGGATATATCAAGATCTATGTCAATTGAATTTGCTACTTTGGGCATTCTCAGGAGAACAACATGAAAATATCTACATGTTTTTGCTAACAGAATTCCACATGTATATCCATCTTTTATACATAGATTTCAAACTGTTTTTACCATGAGATTTGGGATAGAACATGAAGACAGACAATATTGTTTTTCAATAAATCATACAAAAATAACATATTATTGTAATTCCTATTAATGTACTAACATTTAACGTCATGGCGATTTGAATATAATCATGAGATATGCATGGTGACGGTAATTCAAGTTTCCAAGCTGCAAATTTTTAAAAAAAAGTTATGTTGAACTGTTTCCAATTTATTGCTATGAACATCATGTAAAGGAGACCATACATGTGAAATACATAGAAGACTTGGTCTTATTAATATAATTTTATATATAATGTATAATATAATTTATTTATTGTATTAATTTTTGTAAAATTTGTGGTCATTCTTCTGAGAAAACTAAGTATTCTATTTGCTTTTGTAACAATGAAATCTATATGTTCATTGAATTTTAGTTTTTGGTCAAATATCATGCCTAGATTTTTAATTTTCATGGCAGTTTCTAATTCTTGCCCATTTATCGCATAAGAGGATATAATTAGATTTCTAGACTATGTATATCTCATGATTGTGCATTTTTGAACATTCGAGACGAGTTTCTTTTTTTACACCATCAAAGTAATGCATTCAGGTTTTCTTGAAGAATTTTACAATCATCCCTTGATTTTATTTCTCAATATAATTTTAAATTGTCCACAAAAAGTAAGAAAGAACAAGATGGAAGAGCTGATTTAATATTGTTTATATATTGTAAAAACAGTAATGGTCCCAAGTGTGAACATTGAGGAACTCCTGATGATGTTACCATATCATTTGAGATAACTTATATTTCACATTTTCATTTACACCCATCAGATAACTTCTCATCCATTTCAACAATAAATCCAATATATTCAAGTTCCTTTATTAAAATTTGATGGTTTTCAGTATCAAAGGCTTTTGCAAAATCTATATCACAACAGTTTCTGAATTTTATTCAATGTTTAAGAAAATAATTTTGTAATATCAGTAGTTAGTATTTCATTATTTCTTTTTAAAACCATGTTGTTCATTTAATAATATTGAGTATAGTTTTGATGTCAGTACGTGTGTTATTAAAGATTTAAATATTTTTGGAAAAATACTCAATTTCGAGATAGGTCTGTAATTATCAATTAAATCAAATTTCACTTGTTTTATCTGTAATTTCTTTAATATTGTCGATATTAATAGATTCCTCATTTTTCTATATGGAATTATTATTGTAAGGCTGACATTACAAATTTATAAAAGTATTTAGTCGATCTTTATTCCATATAGGCAGGTTTTGGTAGTTCTGTCAAGGAAGTGTGGAATAGTTTCAAGAAAATCATTAATAAGTGTATGGATCTCTATGTACAATTTAAAATCACAAGAAATCCCGATCCAGAATATTATAATAATCAGATACGAAAGTTAAAAAGCAAAGTAAGGTGGGCATAAGGGAAAAGAAGAATCGGTGATTAAGTAACTTAAAGAAACTATCAAGAGACTATTGGAAGTGAAAGTATTAGCACAGGGAAGATATTTGGAAACGATCCTTACTTATGAAAATAAAAGTTGGAGCAATATTTTTAAACATGCCACAAGGGAAATTGCAAAGAAATCCTGTTGATAAGAATCAGTAGTACTAACTTGGTGGTAGACGGGAAACAAAAAGTAAATATGTTTAACCAATTAGTCATGACAGTTTACACAGATAAAAGGAAGATCGTTGTAAACAAATGGGACGGAGAAAATTTTGTACCCAATCCGCGAGAGCACTTAGATAATTAATTGCCAAATTTGGTAATAATAAATCAAGAGGATGGAAAATATCAAATTAGGAGAGGCAGCTATGTTGCTTGCAGCTTTTCGAGATATCGTTGAACAATTCATGAATTCCTAGGGATTGGAGAGATGCCATAATGTTCCCAATTTTCAAAGGAGGTTTGCACCAAAATGTTGAAAATTATCACCCAGTAAGTCCTATGTCGGTAGTGTGTAAACAAATGGAACATTTGGTGCTGGAATAGTTATGCGAAATTTGGGATAAGAATAATGTAATTTATGAAGGATAACACGATTTCAGAAAAGGATATTCGTACGAGAGTTAGGTTGTCAATCCTCAGTCAGGACATTGTTGATTCTCTTGATGAGATTCCATCGTTCACAGAAATATTATAGACTTCACCAAAGTGTTCAACCTTTTCCCCCATTTCAAATTTATCCAAAAAATTAGTAAGCTTAACATAGAAGAATTGCTCTCTGGATTCAAGAATTTCTCAGCCCGCATACTCGACTGCAAATTGGGTCAAATTTCTCTTCGAAAGAAGAAGTAATGTCTGGAGTGTTACAGGGAAGTGTCCTAGGTCCATTGTTATTTATATCATATATTAATGATAGTTGGCAGGAAATTGAATCAAAAATACTTTTTGAAGATGACTGTATAAAATATGGGGAAATTAAGGACATAAGTGACAGAGAAATATTGCTGGCTGATTTAGATAAAAGCTGATTTAGATAGGCTAGAATTATGGGCTACTACAAATGAAATGATATTAAATCGCAGTAAGTGCAAGTTTATCAGATTTGTACTTTCTCGAAAGACAGATGACATCACATACAAATTGGGAAATCTGCCTGTTCCAAGAGCTAAATGCTGTAAATGGCTTTCTTTTTATGTTTCCAAATTTTTGAGAAATTTAAATAATCATCAGTCATGGATGATTTAAGTTTTGTATGTGGTAATGACTTATCTTTAATTTTTTTGATTCAGAACAATACGAAGGTGGATATATGGCAGAATATTTTATAAATGTAGGAACATATTTGTCAATAATATCATAATTACAAATATAAAAAGAAATTATGAATTCTTCAAGGAATCGTGTATAAAAAATGGTAGCCAATTGAATGAAATTAGGACATCATTTATACAGTTGTAATCCGAATGATCAAAATCATAATTAGGTTCAATAATATCCAATGGTGATAATTTCTCACTGAAAAAGCAGTATTGAGTGCTGGAAAATACATATCACAAACTACCAATGGGCAGTCAGATTTGCATATACTACAATTTTGGTCGTTTACAAAAATGAAATCTAAAATTCTACCTGTCTTATTGACAATATTGTTCATTTGAAATAAATTTACGTAATTCATAGCGTTTGCTAAAATTGAACTAGAGTTCATCTCTTCTGATGGTGGATTTAAGAAATCTCAATACACACCAAAATCACCATTGATCCATTTTGAGTTTGAAAGGTAGAAAACACTGAAGATAAAAAACTTTGAGTTGGAGACATTAAAAAAAGTGTCTGATGATGATGATGATGATGATGATGATGATGATGAAATAGATTCACACAAACATACAGAGCCAGACACAACACAACCATGTCAGAGGCGGAACTTGAACCCATGTTCCCCTGGTCAGAGACCGCTACACCACTATTGAGTTAGCAATCTGGGTCATCGGTTTGGCTATTATTGTTATCATTATCATCATCTTTTATGAACATCAGTTAAGTTTCTTAACATTTGTTTGCTGAAAATGTAAAGTTTGTGTGCTTAGAGTGCGAGTAATATGTGAAATGTGTATATTGTTGAAACACTATTGATTCTTGATTTTAACTTTACCTAATAAAATATAGGGGGGGGGGAATGGTTTATAAAAGTTTGTAATTCTTAAAAGAAATGTTTGTTATGAGTACAATAAGCACAGTGTTTATTGATCATATGAATCTGTTGTTTTCTAGAAAAATGTTTTAATTTAGTTTTGATCACCTCTTGGATATTTAAAGATAATTTTCAGATTTCTTTGAATATTGATTGTAGTATACATATTAAAAAATTATGTACATTTGTTTGTGCTATCTACTTGTAGGTGTTGTTTTGATGTTCTTTGAAGTATTGTTTTAATTTATTTAAAATGTAATTTATTTTGTCTTGTAGGCAGGTGGTGGTGGTGATGCACATGCTGATACCTACCCAATACCAGAGGAGTTAACAGAGAACTTCTTATCTGATGTCATTCATGACTTGACATTAAATCCAGGTCACTATAATAGTTCTGTTTCAATTTTGACAGAGCTTTTACTGAGAGATTTAACAAACAAAGATTTGCACAGTCGTATTATTGACATCATTGTTGAGAAGGTAAAATTATCAATAAAAGCATGCTTTAAAAAAAATTATCCTTTCAGTTCATTTTATTATATTTTGTTCTGAACAAATGAAAAATCAACTTCCCCCTCTTTTCACAGTCCATTACACTTCCAAATTTTCGGTACAATGGTGCCAGACTTTTGTGTCATTTTCGAAGTGAATTACCAAGCAATTTACAGAATGACTTCCGAAATCTTCTCCTAAGAAGGTACATTTTCTCAAATACATTACTCAAATTGTTTATTGAAATTTAATTAAATTGTTTATTTTAACTTTGCTTTCCCTTGCTGGAAAGAAATAATATTTGAATTCTATAAAAGTGGTAATTTGATCAGCAAAGATGTGATTTTCCAGGTGCCAAGTGGAGAATGCGGCACTCTTGACGATTCCCAATGTTTTAAAGACACAAGGATTTGCTATGTTTCTAGCGGAATTGTATATTCAAATGAAAGTCACAGTTGGAAATAATGACCGCATTGCAATTTTAGCTGCGGCGTTATTTGAAGTGATGAAAAATCTACTTACTTCTGAATCTTGTGAAAATATTAAATGTGTCTGTCAAGTTCTAAAAGTAAGTATTTAAATATAAGAATGATAATAGTTGTTTGTTGGTGAAGAGTGAGGGCCTTATTCAGTCGTCACTTACAGAGGTGTGCAAATTATTACACTACAGACATTTTTCTTTAAATTGTGGTTATAGAGCTTGTAAATAAAACTGGCAGCTCTCATATTGTTTTAAAAACAGTACATAGTGTTGTCTGCTATATTTTTGTGTGTCGTGTACAAGTGATATGTTATTTGTTTACTTGATAGTGTGAATGTGTCTCGGTTACCAGCATTCTGATAGCTTATGATTTAATGAGTTTTATGAAGTTTATGCTGTCTCTGTGATTGTTATATGGTTTGAATTAGTGAACTAAAGTGTGTTCTTGGCTGTAAGTGTTTATAAAGTCTGTTATTGCTTTCTATAAATTAATTTCCTGATATTTTTGTATCTTTTAGAAAGTAAGATTGTGAAAAGTAAAAGTAATGTGAAATAAGTTCCAACAAATATAGTTTGGCTGCTTCTCAAGGGCTAGCCCAACCCCTATGAAGTGCCGTAAACCCTACTCCTGTCCTAATTCCTTCCCAATTCTGGCTGCTAGGTAGTGACACAGTGAGTAGTAAGAGGCGCATTTGTGGAAATGCTGCCTGGTGGCCCTCTTGACGTATGACTACGACTAGTCGTGATATGGCACACTAGTAATGGAGGTTTACTCCTAATAAATGCATTAATTAATGGAGGATTACTCCAAGCGCAAAGTGCTCAACCCCCCCAAAGGGCTTGGAGACGTGTTGCGTCTACGTAGATGCAAGATTATGAGGAAGAAATATGATTTATCTGCTTGAGAAATTGCAGTCGCTAAAGCATTGATCGTTGAGTGATGCTATACAGATGGCATTAGCCACAAGACTTCATATTTCCCAGAAATCTGTTAACAGAATTGAAATATCCCTTGCCAATAATCAAGAATAGAGACCAAGCCATCATGGTAAATGTGGCCGAAAGCAGATAACGACTCCTACAAACATACGTAAAAGCAAGCAAATGGCTTTAACATTGTAACCAAACCAGAAATGAGTTAAGGCATGAAATGGTAGGAGGAGGAGGAATGAATGTTTCTTCAGCAATAAGAAGAAGCCTTTGTTAAGATGGATTACAAGTTCAGAAGCCAAGCAGGAAAGCCAAATTCACTTCTCTAATGACAAAAAACAGAGAATATGGGCTAAGGGACTGAATTACCGGTCATCATAACACACTGGAGCAAAGTAAGAATACTTCTCTAATTGTATATTAAAGACGTATTGTTAAATTTTTGTGTAATAATCATCATATGTTACTCTTACGAATCAACATTCTACATTCTACCTGAAACAAGCCAGTACATTCAAAGGTGGTCTGATGAGGAATTTCACCTTCAATATGTGACATAAACAGTGAAGCATCCAGTGAAAGTAATGATACGAGTTTGCATGTTTGGGCATGATGCTGGTTGTTAAGTATAGTTAATAGTACTGTGAATCAAGTGCAGTATTTAAAACTCATTAAAAAAAATTCGATGCCACAATTAAAGGACTGGTTTGCAGAAACACCAAGTATGTTTATGCATGATCACTTGTCTGGGAAGAAAGGGAAGAAGTGGTCAGATATTTTGGGGACATTGATAATGCTACAATGGCCAGCTAACAACCCCATCATGAACCCAATTGAAAATATTTGGGCACTAGTAAAAAGAAGCTGAATAATTTAAGATAACAGCATGTAAAGGTGATAGAATGGTAGAATTGTAGGACATGCGGCAAAACAATACACCCAAAAGTAATGTATGGCAATAATAACAAAAATGACAGAGGATCAGCATGCTTATAAATAAAAAAGGAATATTTACTAAATATTAAAATTAATTCCTAAATAATAGAAAGCATAGTGTGAAAATAAATTCACATATTCAAACTCTACATCTTTATTCTAATGATTTGCACACCTGGGTATGATGATGACATAATTAATAGATATAGTATGTAGATGGTGTTGGTTTTTGCATGGCCAAGCTTTACAGCAATCAACAGCACTATCAACCTTCTGTGCATGTGCTGTTCAAATTTCCAGATTTCATGAAGGTCAGCATTATATGATAACGTGTGTAAAACCTTGTATGTCTCGGTCTTATAAGCTTGTTTTTTTCTATTGCTCAGCAATGGGAGTCCCAAGTTATGATAGTCGCTCTTCATAAATGATTTTCCTATTATCATGTGAAATACACGTGACTTTCCATTGCATGTTACTGAGCAACTAATGTTCTTTCTGTAGTGGGAGTTTCGTAGGGTAGTGCCAAATTCGATTATAGCAAGATAGAAAGTTTTGTACAGGACAGTGAATTCTTAATCATTGTAAAAGCTTAACAAATCTTAAAGATCAACTTATTAGCTTTCTTGACAATATAAGATAAACAGGTATCCCATTTGAGATCTTCTGTGATAAAATTCCTAGCTCTTTCATAACTGCTGATAGCATCAGCACAGTTGTACCAATATGACAAGGTACTTTAGGATCATTTTTCCTAATATGCATGATGGACCATCATTTAAGCCACTGTGTTTCTTGGTGTTGAGCTGCAGCAATCATATTTTTCTTTTTAACATGACTTAAAAGCTTTTAAATAGAAGACAAATGAAATAGTAATTGACATAAACAGATAGAAAGAATAATAGACTTACTTAGGTTTTGGAATGGTCTGCAAGGTAAGCTGTTCTGTAGCGCTGCTCTGGTGCATTAGATCATCCTGTAATAGGCTGATCTTGGAGGGTGTATGAAATGTTGTAAATTGTGTAGAAACTAAAATTTTATAAAATACATATAACAAAAAAATATTTTAATGAATGTTGTCTGCAGTCAAATGGTTTTGATTTCAGAAACAGCCAAAAATTATGACAATATTATTTTTAGATGACAAAGTTATAATAACAGACTGAGAAGACACACTAGCAGAAAGCAGCCTCAGGTTAAGCAAAATAAGCAAAGAATATCAAATAAAAATATCAAGCCAGAAAACTAAAACACTAGCTTTCTATGACAAAGAATATCTTAAGAGCCAAAATTGTAATAAAAAATTCAATACTTGAACACGTTATTACTTTTAAATATCTCAAATAATACAATTGGATTATACCAGAAATACCAAGATATACAAACCAGATATACAACAAAAAAAATATGCAAAAATGTAATAGAAACAGTGGAATAATAAAGACATTTTGGATATATGGGAAAAGAAACAATGATGAGAATCCATAATATTACATCAAAACCACATAAAGTATGGTTCAGAAATGTGGGTAATGGGCATAAAGGAAACCAGATACATGGAAGTAGCTCAGATAAAATTTCTAAGAGCAGTGTTAGGAGTAACAAGAAGGGATAAAAAATTGAAATAAAACCATTAGGAAAGAACTGAAAACCGGAAACAGAAGAAATCAAAAGTTACCAAAGGAAATAGAGTAAACGCTTGAAAAAAATGAACAAACGATGTCTACCACGGATGACATTAATTTATAAACCAAATGGCAAGAGAGATAGAGGCAGACCGACAAGATGGCATCAGCAGGAACACATCACCACATGAAGGAATACTGCTTGTTGGCTGGATCCGAAGTTGGAAATTTGGTTCTCACCTATGAGAAACTTGCACAATTTTGGCAGGCATGACTTACTGTGTTATAGAAATAATGTTGTGTTATAGAATTAATTTTCTGTTTTAGAATTGAATTTGAGGTTACATATAATGACTTGTAATTAGTTATCCTTTTCCAGTTGGCAGGATTGGCACTTGATGAAAAAGACACACGCACTATGGATGCAGTGGTTGAAAGACTGACTGAAATTCAAAACTCCTATGAAAAGGAAAATACAGTAAGGCTTATTACATCTGTTATTAAATTACGACAGAATGCATGGAGACCACCATCTCTCATATCGTCTGCTGTTTCAGCCTGTGGTATGGAAAATGAAGTAAGTATTGACAGTTATCGAACAAAATACTTCAAATAGATTCAGATATTTATTTTTATAATAGTTGTGTTTGTATATTTATAATAATGTGTTTGTATATGAACACTTCTGTATTTATTCACTGTTTTGTACCTGGTGATACTTCTGCATATTTATTCATTATTATTTATTCACATACCACTGATCGGCGTCATCTCCTAGACAAGCATGTTCTGTTGGTTTTCTTATGCTTACATAGGGGGCAATTTCAAATACTGTGTGTATGTGCAAAGCCGGTATCTTATTTCTCCTGTTCAAGAACAAGACAAACTGAAATTGACTTGCTGTTCACAGCTGTCACAGTCTGTACATTCAGATGTCTTATTTACATTAAGTTTTGCGAATACTTTTCAGACTCTTTAATTGTGGTTTTTGTAAACCCTTTAAGTGTGTTCAGTACTTACTCTTCAGTTTTGCTGCGGATTAGAGCAATAGAAGAAAAGCAGGTTCACACGCAACGCAACCCTCAACACCCATTATACAGCAACACCCTTTTACATCATACATAAATCGAAAAAAAATATACATTCCTAGGCTTTGGGACATAGGTTATTTTTCTTAAGTTGAATGAATAAACTCCCATGATAAAATTAAAAGCACTATTTGATTTTCTTTGCAATTTCATCTCAATGCTTGGTAATATTAGAATGCTCAGTATCTGGCCTTTAATGTTATAATGCACATTTCAGGAGCTGGCTGTTTGAAGTTGGGTTCCAGTATAAATCTTTTCATTTTTAATAACCTTATTTACAAAATGGATAATTTTCACATAAGCCTTTTTAATATCTAATTACCCATCCCTTCCCATTATCATCCAATTGTACCAATCTCTCCCCAAACATGGTATGTTACAATCTTACATTCTCTTGTGTGTGGCTGTTCACTCATGTTAGATACGCCATACTATGGGCCGGTTGCATAAAGCTTTCCATATGGGTTCCACAGCTGTATGTTCAATAAAATTTATAGGTTCCATAGCACGTGCACCGTTGCATAAAGCAAATTTAGGGAATCTCTAACTGTAGATTCCATAAGAACTTCAAGATACAACCAATAGATAGCGATCGAGTCGATATTTGAACACTTTATTCCTTACAGCATTTTGCACATTCTTAGCATGTCTTGCGTTCAATGGATTTGTTTTTGGTTGTTTCTTAATGCGTCTCAGTAGCAATTCCGTGTTATTTCATAATTTTCATTTTTGTTTATTTTTTGTTTAATTCTTGTATTTTTGTTCTTATTGTAAATACAATTAATTATTTATATAAGCCATTGCTTATTTGTATTTAAATTAATTAATTTACCTTCCATTCTTAAATTTAAATATTAAGTTTTGCTGATACAATTAATTATAAATTTTGATTAATAATGAACTACTATTCAAATCCCTTCGAAATACAAAGGAATAATTAATTTGCTATCTAAACAATTAAGTAGAATGTATTAATACAAGAAGAGCCCAGAAGTTAAGGCATTTAATTTGCCAAATATAGGCAGGCAATAATGTACTAAAATATGTCACGTAAGAGTTAAAAAAAATTAGAGGGTAATCATTTTTAAATTATTCAAATTTATTATATTTTATTTTATTTTATTTACTTATTCACGCCAATCGGCTTTGTACATAAAGGTAACAATTTATATACCACACTGCACAATCACATCCAATACACTAAAACAATTTCCAAACACAACCAATCGATGCATATAATTAAATTAAATTGTGATTATAAACCGTAAGTATCACATCATATCGTTGTGTTTACAATCTT